TATACATACATATATAGATATAACAACCTATCCTTCTTTATCTGCAGGAACTTTCTCTCTGATTTGAGCAACGACTCCGTTCTGCTGCTGCTCAACGAGGTTGTTGGCCAATTAGCACTCAGTTCTGACTCTGCAGTGGGCGGAGCCTCCATCACTCTGATGCTTCTCATGGCTAAGCAGTTGGGCCTCCGCCTCCAGCCACTCCTGCTCAAATTCATAGGTCAGAGGTCACGAGTGTAAACCTGCAACAGGTGAAACTGTCATAGCTGACCTGATGTCTCTGCAGGTTTAGACAGTTTGCTGGAGAAGGACTGGAGGGGGCGGGGCTTCGACCAGGAGTTGGATCTGCTGATTGCAATCGTCCAATCAGACAAGAGTGAGAGCAGCCAGATGGAGGTTTGTTGACTGATTTTTTTTCTCCCTTTAAAAAACTTTATGTTCAACTTGGGAAAGAACAAAATCAAACCTTAAAAATAATGATAATAATCAGTAAACATTAAATTTTTTGAATGACTAAAGGTTTATTTAGCTAAACTACAGCAGTATTTTAATGACAATAGCCTGTCGAAAATATTTAATATTTGCTGTGTCGGTGTTTGAAGGTGAGTACTGAGCGTATGCAAGCGGCATGCGTGATCCAAGCAGCCTGGAGATCGTTCCAAACCCGACGCAGAGTGAAGAGTCTGAACAGAGCTGCCAGCACTTTGCAGAGGAGATACAGGTAATAACTTCCTGCTCAGAACACACTCCAGGTTCAGAGCTCCTGCCCGGCTAAAGGTGATAACATTTTGCTGCATAAGCATTTTAAATGAGCTAAAACCAAAAATGAGCTTCTGTTAATTTGCCACCCAGCTCAGCTTTTGTTTTACATCTTAGACTGATTTGAAACTCTGATTCCAAAACAAGACAAAGAGTAGTCGTTTTTTAATTATCTTTATTCTGAAAGTAAATCCACTAATACTCGTGTGTGTGTGTGTGTGTGTGTGTGTGTGTGTGTGTGTG